ACTGACTTCCTACTGTCTGAAATCAGTGCTTCTTGCGGAAATGCTATGTGGCTCCCGTTCAGGCAAAAGCCCCCTTGCGCAAATGCTTTTGCGCAAGAGGGCCAGTGTAGACAACGCAGTATAGCTTTGCGCAAAGAAGCCCTGATTGCGATAATGGCGATCGGGGCTTTCTTGCGTAAAACCGTGTCTAGATTGGTGCGGATGCTTTTCTGCAAAAAGTGCTTTTGTGGAAAAGCATCTGTGCCAATCTAGACGCTCTTTTCCGCAAATGCTTTTCATGGAAAACTTTTCCGTGAAAAGCATTTGTGGAAAATCATGCCAGTCTAGAGGTAGCCACAGTGTTTGTGTAAGTAAACACTAGGGCTGTGCCGACCTTGGTGTGATCTTGCGCAAAAGCAAGAGATCCAACAAAGATAGCTTCCCCAATTATCACCTCTAATATCATTAGCTCACAGACATTAACCTCCTTTCTGTTCTGAAATTTGATTTGTCCTTTTTATGGGTTCACTTTTTTGATTGTAATCCTTTGGTATATATAGTCATGCCAATTTTCTTCCACAATTTGATCTGAGGAAGTGGGTCTGGCCCATGAAAGCTCATCACCTAATAAACCAACTTGTTAGTCTTTCAAGTGCTACATAGTCCTGTCTTTTGTTATCTTTAAGGCGCTCCTACCTGAGCCTAGATAGTCATGGCTTGTTGGAGAGAACTAAAAATAGTCCCTTAAAACGGAGATGGTTTCCAGGCTTCTTCCATGATGTTCATTTGCACCTATCTAGTTGCACAAAAATAGGAAATGTTTTTGCTTATATTGTTTCTGTAAGAGCCAGCATGGGAGAGTACCTGTGTGACAAGCTCGCCCTGTGGAGAGCAGTAGAATGGCACAGGCCTTCTGTTGCCCTACAATCTGGTATCCAGAGTAAAGTACAGTTTGACAAATCCTTAAATGTTGAGAATAAAATTTTCTAATCCCTGAGCCTAGTTTTGTCTTTGAATAAGCCACTATGTTTTTCAAATGGGGAGGTAGAAAAGATGCTCACAGGCTACGTCTAGACTGGCATGATTTTCCAGAAATGCTTTTCACGGAAAAGTTTTCTGTTAAAAGCATTTGCGGAAAAGAGCGTCTAGATTGGCACGGATGCTTTTCCGCAAAAGCACTTTTTGCGGAAAAGCATCTGTGCCACTCTAGACGCGCTTTTGTGCAAAAAAGCCCTGATCGCCATTTTAGCCATTGGGGCTTTTTTGCGCAGAACAGTACTGTGCTGTCTACACTGGCCCTCTTGCGCAAAAGCATTTGCGCAAGGGGGCTTTTGCCTGAACGGGAGCCACATAGCATTTCCGCAAGAAGCACTGATTTCAGACAGTAGGAAGTCAGTGTTCTTGCAGAAATTCAAGGGGCCAGTGTAGACAGCTGGCAAGTTTTTCCCCGCAAAAGCACCTGCTTTTGCGGAAAAACTTGCCTGTATGCGGCGGAAGCAATATTTCATGAGTTGTAAAGTCTGATGGTGCCAGGGCCTGATTGTCACCTATTAGCAACTATAAAACTCTGTAAAAGAAAGAGGGCTCTAGAGCAGCACAGCAATTGCAGGAATCATGTACATCACCACTGTAGCACGTATTCCAAATGCTCCCATGTGGTTACAATAAAAAAAGCAAGCTAGGGGTTAAAGGCAAGAGAACATTGACCATGCACCTGTTTGCTTCCTTCACTGTTGTCTCAAGATCTCTGCTTCTGAGCAGGAGACTAGAAAGTTTGATCCCCTGGCCCTGAGCTCTGGAGTGCTGCTCTCTACTGGGTGAAAGCCAACAATCACCACTCCAGCATCGTTAGCCATCAGTTGTGAAGACCGACTGTATAACGGTGCCAACGGAAACACTAGAGAGCTTGAACTTCATGGAATGTCATCACCCAAGCTGGATGCAAGCCCTGCCCTCTCAAAAAGGACTTTCCCTCCTTTGTGACTTCTTCCGAGAAGTGGTCCAAGAATAATTTCTGCCCTTATTGGCAGAGGAAATGGCAACTCACAGAAAACAGAGTGGTTTCATTAGGTATAGTGGTGGGGGACACAGAATATAACCTAATGAATCTAAAAGGGTGGGGTGGAGAAGAAGCAAACTGCCCCAGGAGGAATAAGGGCCAAACGAGCCAATTTTTTGTTAATTTGAGTCAATTGCTTGAAAGCATTTCTTTATCAGCTGCTATTTGTATTCTGCAGTGGTGAGAGGCCAAAAGCCAGGAAATTCCAGCTGAGCCCCACTTGATTAGACAGAAGGGATGTGCTTGGGGGACAGTTTAGTTAGTTTTCATTGGCAATGATTTTAATATTAAGTTCTCAAAAAGAGGCAAGAGAATGTAATGCTTCCTTTTCTGAACCTCTACATCTCTTTGATACAGCAGCAGAGGTATTTATCTCAGAGGCACAGAAGCCAAGGCTTTCTCTGTCTTTCAGCAAGTATATGAAAGATATAACTTCATTTGCTGCTCCTCTTGATCCACATACACTGTCCATCCTGCCCCTCCTGTACACCCCATGACATTCCTGGGGGAACCTTGATCTGCAATAGTTTCCCTAGTTGTGGTGTCTGAAAAGGCAAAAGTGTGAAATATCTCTTGTCCCAGTAACCTGTCTGTGTCCGCCACTCTCCCTGTGACGCCTGCATGTCAATACTACTATCTCTGTTTGGCTACAGCTAGGATCTAAGAGGGTATGTCTACACTACAGCGCTAGTTCGAACTAACTTAGTTCGAATTAGTTAATTCGAACTAAGACTAACTTAGTTCGAATTAGTTAATTCGAACTAAGCTAGTTCGAACTAACGCGTCTAGAACTAAAAACTAGTTCGAACTAGCGTTTTGCTAGTTCGAACTAGCAAGTCCACATTGAGTGGACTCTGAACAGGGCTTAAGGATGGCCAGAAGCAGTGCCGGCAGGGCATAAAAGGAGGACTTAGAGCATGGAGATGCTGTCTCAGGCTAGCCGAGGGCTGCGCTTAAAGGGTCCCGACCCCCACCCCGGACACACAGTTCTAAGGGGTGCCCCGCTTGCAAAGAAGTTCTGGCTTGGAGTGCCCTGAGTGCCCACACTGGGCACATCACACCACTCGGCCATCAGCCCGGCTGCACTTGCCGCAGGCTGCCATCTGGGGAGAGGGAGTAATTGGGGGGCTGCAGGAGAGCTTCCACCCCCAGAAGCCCGCAGAGCCAGCCCAGTCCTCCCCATCGGGGGCTCGTACCCCATTCCTCCCTCACCTCCTTCCACTTACCCTTCCCTAGCCCCCCTTCTTATTGATGTACAAAATAAAGATAACGTTTCTTCCAACATTGACTCTGTCTTTATTGAAAAAAAACTGGGGGAGACTGGGAAAAGGAGGGGGAGAGGGGAAGAGAAAGGCTGGGAGAGGGGAGGGCAACTAACATGATCAGGGGTTGGGAACAGGTCCCAGATGAAGAAAGGCTACAGAGACTGGGACTGTTCAGCTTAGAAAAGAGGAGACGGAGGGGGGACAGGATAGAGGTCTCTAAAAGCAGGGGTTGGGTGGAGAGGGTGCATTCAGAAAAGTTCTTCCTGAGTTCCCATAAAGAAGGACTAGAGGACACCAAAGGAAAGGAATGGGTAGCAGGCTTGAAACTAGTAAGAGAAAGTTGTTCTTCTTCACAAAGCAAATAGTTAACC